GAATTCCACGGCTTTAACAGAAAGGAAAAGCGCCTTGCTGAGAGCACTTGTTTATTTATGCTGATTTTGAGACGATTACTTATTTATGTGTTTGTTTGCAGTTGTACTTGCTGCTAACTCAAATCTGAGTGCCAAATGAAGCTTGTAAAATGGAAATTGTTTTCTTTTTGCGGCTTTTGACAGGGATATGACAGTAAGAGGATATTGGGAGTGTTTATAATGCCCTCTAGCGACTGCTTTATGAATCTGCATCCATAGTCTAGTGCAGATATGCCCAAACAAGGGCCAGCAGACCAAAGTTGGCCCCATGGTAACCTTTAATTTGACCCGCCACTTCAACAGAGCTTGTTATTTCTAGTTTTAGTGTAATTTTTTGGTTTGTTTAATTGTTGAGATACAAAAAAGCAAATTAAATTAAATGTTTCAATTAAATGTCTTCCATGAAGATGTGAGGATCCTTGATAAGCAAATCATCTGCATTCAATATATTCAGTGTTGAACACTACTGCGTTACGAATGGGACTGTTTTAATGTAAGAAGTTCATTATGAAATCTAATTACATAATTATTAATCAATCAAAGTATTTTTTCAATTTGTTTTCAAATATTTATAAATTAGGACATTACTGACTACTTTAATGTAATAGTTTGGTTTAACTTGTGTCTTTCAGTGAGCTCATTGAAACTGTGTAAATGGTTGATGAAGTGCAATTAGAATTGATTACTTGTACTGAAAACCTTTAAATCATATTCATAATAACCTGTGATTGGTTGTTTTAGTCAGTGAATTGGTTATATTATTTAAGTGACTACTTCTGTTTTTACTTTGCCATTGTGTTGATGTATACGTTTCCTCTTTTGCAGGTTCTACATTGAAAGCATCTCTTACCTTAAGGATAATGCCACAATCGAGCTGTTCTTCCTCAATGCAAAGTCTTGCATCTATAAGGTACGTGTTTATCACTGGTCTACCACTAGAGAGCAGTATTAGCTACTGCCCCTTTGCTTCCTTGAGGTCTGGATGCAGACTTGGTGCATTTGCAAGCTGAGTTGCCTTTTTATGCCCACACCTAACTCCAATCCTAACCGCAACCCTCACAGTGACGTCATCAGCACCGTTGAGTGCATGGTGTCTGACATTGCAAGTGTGAGATATGCAGTGTCAGCTTGCAAATCCAAGTCTGCATCCAGGTACTATTGCTTTGGTCCTAAAATTCCAAATAATTATACAAATAAAACAACAATTGATGTGTGCCAAAGAGATGTAATAAATTAATAAAAGCATATGAATGAGTGTAAATATAAGCATCGTCATATGTGTTAAGGATCATTTGTATAGTAAAATATTAGCTAACCG